GTCCATTATACTCCTGCTATGAGTGAAACCATCCGGTATTTTTCTTTCTCTTTCTGGCTTATCTCACTAAGCATGATTAGATCCTACTTTTTAAAAACATTGATTAGTTAGGTCACAGGCCACACCATCGTCAGGGAGGGTAGTGGTTCACTAAAATTTGTAGCTGGGCAACTCCGGTTCTAATTCTGCGTTCGTATCCCAGTTCTATCCTGAATAGCTGTGTGATCATGAGCAAGTTATTGAGCCTCTCTGAAACTTTGTTTCATTACCTGTAAAATGGAGATAGTTATGTCTAACTCTTGACATAGGTTTGATGAACTCAGATCTAGAAATGTCAGCAGAAGTGTTCTATAAATAATAATTAACATCATTTGGCAGTGACCAACATGAAAAGGTGTCAGCAAACCATGTCATTTAGAGATGAATGAGATTAGAGCTGTTTATTTCTGAGATTAAAAAAAGAAGAAAAAAGAAGGAGTGGAGGTTGGAAAGAAAAAAAAGAAAACACATCACAGACTTTCTTTGTGCTCAAAAGAAGCAAAGAACCAAATCCGTGCAGGAAGGCTCATTTGAAGATTTCAGCTCAAATATAAGGAAAGCTTTCTAGCAAACAGAGTTGCCAGACATTGGGTAGACTCCTCTGGGAGAGAGGGAGCTTCCCGTCCCCAGAGGTATGCAAACAGAGCCTGAATGGACAATGCCATGGAGCAAATAGAGGGTTTCCTTTGCTAAAGAGAAGATGGAAGCTCTGAGGCATCACCTCCCGGAAAAAAAAGAACACAGGGCAGGAGGTTATATTCCTGGAAGTCAGAGAATGGAGCTTACAACATAGCAGTATCATTTAAAATTATACGAATGATGTTAAATGTCTGAATTACAGCATATGGTCGCTGCTAACATTTAGCATTCCCTAAGAGGGGGAAATTATCTGTCTATACGGCAGACTATAAACTACAATAGGATCATTGCTTTCCCTCTTTCCCGCTGGCAGAGTGGGAAGGAAAGGGCTGGCCAAGAGACTACCATCCAGAGGCTACCATCTCATCCAGCTCCAACAGGGGGCGCTCATCCTCCTCTTCTTGCCACATCCTGAAGATGGAGCCCCTTGACTATAAGAGCCAGTGATGAAACCAGTGTTCTGTGCATTTCTAAGACCGAGACTGCTATTGAAAGGAAGAGTGGAAAATAGAATGAGATGCTTGAGCCTACCAGGTTCTCACAGAACTCTACGTACCCAGGACAAGTTTTGCTGTGCATCAGTACAGAGGCTCAGAGATAGGACTACAGATCAACTAGCCCTCAAAATCCAGGGACAAGCTGGAGGCCTCTCAGAGCCTTTGCAGCTAACGCCCACAGCAGAGGCTGGGCCCCCATCTTTGATTATGTTTTCAGCAGCAGCACTGGGCTTTAGCTAGGTGTATTCTCTATTGCCTTTAAATCAGGAAGGGAAAACATGATGTATCTAGCATCTTTTCATTGTGATTCAAAGCTCCATTAAGATCTGCCCAACTCATTTTCCTAAATAGGAAGAACAGTCCCAACCACGTACGTCTAAAATTTCTAACATTTGTTGAGTATCGATACACACATCTGCCAAATGGATACTGAACATTTACTATGCGCTAGGCACAGATGGTTTTGCATCCACTGCCCTAGTTGATATTTCTGACAGTTCCTTGAGGTAAGTATTATTTTCCCTATTTTCCACATGAGAAAACTGAGAATCTTTAAGATCAAATTTCTTGTTTACATTTATTTCTGGTGAGAATCTAGGTTCAAGGCCAGCTCCCTTCCTACACTGGGCTTTCACTGGGTTTTCTCTGCTTCTTTCCATTTAAAATCAGGTCAAAACAGGTGAGAGCAAGACAACAAGTAAGAAGTGGAATCAGCTGGAGGGATGGGCTAGGAAGAAAGAAGGGAACATACTTGTTTCAGGTTGGGTATGTGTGTGACTTCAGGGCTTTCTGACAGCTGCTGCTGAAACCCTGCTTCTCCCATCTCTAATTCCCATACACCTGTCTGAGTTCCTGCTGGACACGCTGGCAGCAGGGTTCTGGTCACTTAACACTTGACATGCAGAGGCTTCTAGATCTTTTAGGGCCCCTAGAAGGTAGGCACTCAGCAAGGTCATTATCACTGGGCCCATCCATGGTGTTGCTTACCCAAGCAGATGATCGCCTTCTGACGCCTCATCACTTCCTTCTTCTGAAATGTGCAAATGGACCCTCTTCTGTCCCTTAATTACTACTCAGAATTTTCCTCTGTGTCTCACCTTCGGGATGCTTTAAGGGCACCAAGATTAGGTCTCTTCCCTCTGGCCCCGCTCAGCCAGTGGGATACCAAGGTAGCAGACAGTACAGGGGAGACAGTGTAACAGAATAGCAACCACCTGAGTCTGAAAAGCCGGATGAAACTGAATCATGAAGCTTATCTCCTCTATTAACTAGAATATCACGGCCTGAGGCAAAGACTTTTTAGCATCACTACACTTCAGGATGTCCATCTGTAAACTAGGAATGATATCTCCCTCCCACAGCTATCGTGAAGATTAACTGTGACACCTTCGTACAACTCAGAGCCGGTAGTTACCTTTGCCACGTTGTGCCGTTGAACGTTGTTAGAGGTTAGATCTCACAGTATATGTGCTTATCACAGAACAAAACAAAAAGGAAACTAATGGGGGTGATGGAAATGTCTGTTACCTTGACTGATGCTGATTTCACAGATCTTTGCATATATCTAAATGCATCACATTGTATTTATTAAGAATGTGCAGTGTCTTGTATATCAATGATACCTCAATAAAAATGTTTGAAAGTATAATGACATCCATCAAGTGCCTAGCATGGAAAAGAACTCTTTCCCCAAATGGTGCCACCCTGGCCCTTCCTCTCACCAGCTAGAATTGGTGTCCCCTTTTCTTAACGTCAAAGCTTTCCTTACTCTCAGATGAAATGCAGACAGAAGTCTGAACTCTTCCTGAGGAGGAAGGGAATGAGGTAAATGCCTAGGAGAATTACAGTGGCATTTAGGGAGCAGGCCAGGGACCTGGGTCTTATTCGTCATTGTGATCTCAATGCTCTACACAGAGGCATCTGTGCTGCTCACT